TAAAAACAACTTATTGACTTATTCCGATATGACATCGTTAATACGTACTTTCGAGTGTTTGAATAAACAATTTATATTGGAGCCAAACCGGTAATAAGAAATTTTTGAAGAAGTTAAACACTTCTGACTTATAATAATTTAATAAGTGCTTTTATAAAAAAACATATATTTTTTCAAATAAACAATCCCAAATACCTCCTCAGTTTCTATATGCCTCCATTAATTTTACGACTCATATTTGATTGATGTTAAAACCAACAGTTTCTTTTTGAATATAATGTATTTTTTTGTTTTTCTAAATTAAAATATTTTGTAAAAGTTTCCAAAATATCGTATTGTTTTTCAATTATTACTCCACTAGTGTTTCAACCGTGCATTATACGGTAGTGATAATATCATCTTCAAAAGAAATGTTATAGACTAAAATTTGAATTTCACTTCTAAAAAAATTAGACAAATGTATGTGGCAACTAATCATTAACATTAATAGTTTTTAAGAGAAATTGACAACAATCTTAGAACCACATGTTAATTTAAGTTATCTAACTATGCTCGAGAATGGTGTTACGAAGTACTCAACAAATGTTTGACTAATGTTAGTAGTTTGTTTAATTAGAAGTCACAATTCTAACTGAAATCTCATACAAGGTGACAAAATCATGATGTTTATTAATTTAATTGAAATCTCATTTGAAGTTATGAAAAAGAAACGTTCTATAATATTTCAAGTAAAAATTAGAGTAGTGTGTAAGTTGTAGCAACAATAGTGGAAGTTCAAGACCATGCATGAAAAACCACATCACCAAGCTAAGATAATGGATTTTTCCTCATAAAAAAATAAAATTAATATCAAGTGGGGTCGATGACCAACATATAAGATATTAAACTGATAAAAACAAATACTACACTTTATCGTAACATTCTATAATATTTAAATTGTAATTAGAGGGGTGTATCAAACCTTGATAGTAGTAACACCAAGACAACAGATAAATAACTACATCACCAAGTAGTATAATGGGCATTTTCATATACAAAATAAAATATCAAGCAAGTAGAAAACCCATATATTAGATATCAAATTAAGAACATATAATATGTTTGATGTAAACAAAAAAAAACTAAGATTCGAGATAGATATGTTAAATTAAAAAATATACTACATTTGATCTTAAGCAAAAGGTTGACATCTGAGAAAAATATATTTGTTCCAGTTTAGTCATTTCTTTTTATAGTAATCTCTCTCTTGCCACCTTCACTCCATCATGCTATGCAGGATGCAATTATGCAAACAATATTGAGAAAAAATGTTGGCTCTTTTATTTTTGTATCCACCTCTCACGTGTCTCTTTCTTCTTTGATCCAATGTGGGATGCAAACATTACTGTTATTACAACTATAACTTCGACCAATCTCTCATCAATATAGGATATCACAAACTCAACCATAATTCCCCAACCCTTCATTACTCAATTCTCATGATTTCACATAAATACCTCTTGGTTTGCTCGGTGATCAAAACTTAATTTAAGAGAAAATGTAAAATCCTCGATTCGAGCGGAAATGCGATGTGTCTGAAAACTCAAGATCATGTTTATATTTATAACGCCCCGTCCAACACCATAAATCACGATTCAGAGAATACTAACATCAGATGAAAGCACATCATTAGGTCAACACTTTCGTTCTATATATAAGTGATATAATAGATACTTAGACTATATTTGTTATTATAAGTACTGCAATAATCAAAACTTTTGTTAAGGAAAAATGTATCATTTGCATTCGTTTTGCACAAATCTTTTTACCAATTGGTTGACTTTAATTTCAACCATGGCCATAGATTTCAAAGCTCTATCTCGTATTTATATATCCAACATCTTCTTCAAACTATCATTTGTATACTAATGTGAGATGATGAAAGTCAACCTTATTTCAGATTTGAGGAACATTCATACCTCATGTTGCCAATTCATCATCTTTGGTTTCACTTTTATATTTGCACTATAGTTTCTACCATTTAGTTGGTTTTGATTCCAACCATGATATAGATTTCAAAGACGATCATACAAAATAAGACAACCTTAGGAGGCAAACTCCATGATTTGACACAAAAACATTCAATGCACCTTTTTTATACACTTCACTTTATTCAAATCTTTCAACTCTTAATCAATATGGGACAACTAAAACTCAACCACAATTCACCATGTGAGAATACTCAATTCTCATAATTCCACCTCAATACCCCAAGGTTTTCTTTTATATATATAAAGAAAAAGTTTTTTTTCCATTTGGTTGGTTTTCATCCCAATCATGGTTATTGATTTCAAAGAAGGTCATTCAAAGAAAGACAACCCTATAAGGCAAACCCCATGAATCGACACAAAGGCACCAATCCATCTTTTTATACACTTTACTTTGTTCAAATATTTCAACTATTCACAAATGTGGGACAACTTGAACTTAACCACAATTCACCATTTAAAAATACTCAATTCTCATGTGCCACCTCATTACCCCAAGGTTTTACTTTTATAATTCTCATGGTGCCACCTCATCACCCCAATGTTTTACTTATATATATATATATATATATATACATATATATATATATAATATCTAATATAATTAATTTTGCACTATAATTTCTACCATTTGGTTTCCAACCATGGTTATAGATTTCAAAGAGGGTCATCCAAAGAAAGATAACTCTATGAGGCAAACCCCATTATTTGAAAAAAAGACATCCAATCCACATTTCTTCAAATCTTTCAACTCTTCACCAATGTGAGATATCTCAAACTCAACCACAATTCACTAACACCACAATACAATATTTTCATGATGCCATCTCAAACACTCATGGTTCTTCTTTTAATATATATATATATATATATATATATAGAAGATTCATTTAAAAATAAATGTTCATAATAAAAAAGACACACAGTTTTAGAATTATGTAATTACTACACTTTTTATTAACAAATTGACAATCCTACCCTTATCTATAGAGATAAATTTTGTTTATCTCATAATTAAGGGTATAATAGGAAAGTAGAAATTACTTTTGAAAGTTGATATTTATCCGAGGACAAAGGAAAACAGTAATGTAGACACTTATTTTAAATGAAAAGAGTATTACTATTACTTATCTTGTCCCAAAAAAGGATTTTTACATTTTTATTTTAGTTTATCCCAATATAAGCTTACACTTTCAAAAGTAACTTCTCAAATCTGCCATTAACTATGATATGGAGAAATTTATTTTACTAATTCTGTTTTTAAGGATAAAATTGTGATTTAGTTATTTAAAACACTCTGATAATTACATATTTATGAAACTATGTGTGCTTTTATATTGGACATTTAATTTTGGATAGAGGAGGTACATGTTATAGTTTGGTTTAATGCTATTCAAATCACCCGGATAGGCTGCGTGATCGCATCGCCCAGATGTGTTGGATAAGATAGGTGATTATGGCACGTATCGTACGCGATATTTGCATCAGGTTGGATAGATCATGTCCATGCCAAGAACCTACGATACAAAGGTTGCAATCTTGTCAAGGAAGTATGTGATCATGGTAGATCGCGTGGGCTTGATCACATTTGGGTTTTTCTTAGGTCGCATAGATAAGGTGATACAATGGAAACCTGACATATAAAAGGGTCCATAATTTATCTTAATCATTTGTTCCTTATTTCACTTTTTTGTTTTCCAAAAATATCAACTACGAAGAACATAGGCTGCAAAGGGCTGATCTCGATCATCTAAAGATCGTATAAACATGTAGTAACCTTCTTGTGATTAATACAATTGTTATCTTGCTTTTTTTATAGACGTACACTTTCACACTGATAGTGGAATCAAGTTTAATATCGTTATCTTGATTATTTGCATCTTATCTCATATTAGACTTGTTTATGTCAGTTTATTGCATTCCTTATCTTTTTGCAGCGATATACATGATTGGATTGTTGTTTGCATCATTTAGATGCATTTCCAAGAAAAAAAAAAGTTCACTAAAAAGCATGGTATAACATAAAGAACTTGTCTGAAACAAAACAAACTCAATAAATCGAACACGAAATTGTGTCTATAGGAAAGGTAAGTTGTAAGCTTTCCCTGTTGCTCAAGGAGTAGAGAAGACTATCACCATAAATATCTAGACATGTACGGACGTTCCAAAATTTTTGCAGGCCTTGTTACACTTACACCCTAAAGGTTTTGATTACACTACAAAATGAGATAACAAAGATACATATATACACATTATAGAGACAATTATGAGGAGTATTATTTTTATCTTTCGATAGAAATTGGAGCATCATTGAGGTGGGCTAAAGTTTTACACAAAGTCCTAGACAATGTAAAAATGGACCCCAAAATTTTCGAGACCCTATTGAAAATCACATATCACACAATTAACTTGCTAAAGAACGAACATGATAACATGCATTACAACAAAATCGGGCAATAAAACACCAAAAAATGTTCAAGTATCATAACAAACCGCTTTATAGAACCTAAGTTTATAGAACTACACAATTATATGTCCTATGTAAAAGCATTACAATAAGTTATTTAAGACACTTTAGAAATTAATAAGGCGTCATAACACCAACGAAAAGTGTCAAATAAACACTTTTTTTTGCAGGACACTTCTTTTTACAAGTAACCTTTTCAAATAATGTCATGAAAAAAAAATCAAAAACGACGCTTTATTTTAAAAATGTCGTAAAAACTCTTATAATTGGAACGCTTTTACATAAGGCACATAATTGTTTGTTTGTTATAAATTTATATTCGACATTAATTTTTAACGTTTTGTAAACCTGATTTTGTTGTAGTGATAATTATAACCCTAAATGAAAATTATATATTAAAGACAGAATGTTGAAGCGTGGGCAGTTTGTGATGAACAGAAAGACAAAAGAGAAGGTAGGTAGTGGTAGTATATAAGAGAGAGAGACTCCATTAATTAGAAGCATCGATGGTGCTTTTGGTGAATATATCAAACATGGCTTTCAAGAATGCTTTGATTGCTTTCATGGCTCCTCTGCCTTCAATCATCTTCTACATCTCATTCCTTAATCACTACCAGCTGCAACATGATGATGATGGTGATGACAACCTGCAACTTCTCTCCCCTCTGTGGAATTGGTGTTACCAACATCCTCTCCTTTTGGCCAACACCCTCTTCTTCTTCAACATTGATGTTGGTTTCTGGCTCATCAGCCTCCTCCAATCCAGCAATTGGGTAAAACTTCTCATCCCTTATTTCTTCATTCTTCTTCAGGTTGCAAGCCAGATGATATCGTTACAACAAAATAAAGTTTATAATGTCTTAATGGATATACTGCTTTATACTTCTTCCGTCCCAAAATAAGGGTCCACATTTTTTTTGGATTAACCTCGATATCTAACCGGCTATGCGAGCTGATTAATCTCAGGGTAACCAACTGCTTTGCAGACAGCCCAGAGTCACCGCATCTGAACCTCCGTGGCCATATGGAGATTTTTATTCCTCCTTGGATATGAACCTGGGGATCTCCTCATACCTTTGACCTTTGGAACCAAGCTCAAACCAATCAGGCACCACCCTTGTAGTTAATAAGGGTCCACATTTATAATTTAGTTCGGTTGAAAATCAATGTCTACTTTCAGAAAAACAAATGTCTACTTTCCAATTCTACCATTAATTATGAGATGGAAAAATTCATTACCATATATACTAACAAGGGTATAATTCCTATTTAGTTAATTAAAAATGTAACAATTACACAATTCTACACATAAACTACATTTTTTTTCTTCATTATGGACATTTATTTCGGGTCGGACATTTCTAAAAACTGCATGTAATAAATTACCTATTTCTAAAAACTTGTTAAGATTACCAAAAATGTCATATAAATTTATTATAACACTTTTATATAAGATACGCAATTGTTTGATCTTATAAACTTAAATTTTATAAAATAGTCTATTAATACATTTAGACATTTGTGACATGTTATAAACCCGATTTTGTTTTTGTTGTTGTTGTGTATTCAGTCAAGTATAATACGTGTTTTTTAGCAACCGGATCTACGGGTGCTTAATTTGAGTTATCTGGTGGTGGTTTTGTAGATGATAGACTTGTACTGGACGGTGATTCCGGTGTTGTTGGTACATTTATTTGCAAATCACCCTAATGCGGAATATAACCAGTGGCGGTCGATGGTGGTGGTGGTCTTGACATGGGTTTGGGCCACCAGATTGACCCACAACTACTTCAGGCGAGAGAAGTGGCAATGGGGTGCGAGAGAGGATTGGAGGTTCACCAACATGGCGGAACAACACGGCCAAAACTGGTGGTGGGTTTCGTTCTTTGGTGTTTACCTCATTCAGCAGGTAAATCTTCATTCAACCAATGTTTTGACATGTTAAAAGGTGGAATTTTGGCAACGTTTTAGCAACCATTAGCTATCTTTTCAAAAAACTGATTAAATTAGCGTTTCATAGTTTCTTTTCCGGATTTAACCACTTTCCCAATTGAACAACACAGGTATTTCTCTTTGGATTATGCCTACCGCTATACGTCGTGTACTCGATCAACAAGCCATTGAACATATGGGACATAATTGCGGTAATCGTGTGCATGTCTGGCATCGTCTATGCCTATTTAGCCGACACCCAACTTCACACATTTGTGAGCAAGAATGAGAGATTGAAAGAGGAAGGAAAAGCCATGGTGCCCAATCTTGATGAAGGGTTGTGGTATTATTCTAGGCACCCAAACTACTTTGGCGAGCAATTATGGTGGTGGGGACTTGCCATCTTCGGTTGGAACCTAGGGTGCACATGGGCTTTTGTTGGTGCACTCATGAACACCTTATGCTTGGCTTATGTGACCACACTTGTTGAGAAAAGGATGCTTAAACAAGAGTATAGGGTTGTAGCCTACAAGATGTACCAAAAGACAACATCTATTTGGGTACCTTGGTTCAAATCATCCCCAAAACCATCGATCAAGGACGAGTAAAGTTGAACTCGATGATCCGCGGATCAAGTGAGATAGACGCGTTGTTTTGACTTGTATCTCGAATGACCTTTCATTTGTTTAGCTTTCTGGGCGTGTCGCCTCATCCATGTCGTCATATCGTGTGAAATGGTCTTTAATTTTTATTTATTATTTGTGAAAAATGATGGTAAACAGCCATCTTTAAATTTTTTATGGCAAATATTGATACCGAAAACATTTTAATTCTTGTATCTGTTTTTTCTTGGACTTGAAGGCATTCAACACGAGGTGACATTTTGTCTTCCAGCACACGTCGTAGTTATCTTATTTAACGACTTTCTTTTAACCAAAAATCACGTCGCTTGCAAATAATTTATTAGTATAATATATGTTTATCTTTCATCAAAACTTGGGAGCGTTTTAATCGGCTTTACACACCAACAAAGGTCGTTCATATGCCTCTCTATTTTATTGAAATCTCCGAGGGTTTATCTCATGACCCAAAGGTGCAACATTTTAGGTTGTAGCTCTTCAAACCCTCAACAAAAAAAGGCAATCCTTTTACACTTCCAGTTCACCAAGGACTTAATTATAGATGGGTACATACAACATACGGTATCAGTCATGGCTGATGGGAACATTGACAGATATAAAGGGAGGCTGGTTGCAAAGGGTTTAAAGAAAAAGGTATGGAGTGAATTACCATGAAAGATTTGCACCAGTAACCAAGCTAGAACCAGTTTGCATTCTTATCTCTATTCAGCAAATCCAGAATGGCCACTACAACTGTTTGATGTTAATATTTCTCAACGGGGATCCATTTAGAAGAAGTATGCGTGGAGATGTCACAAGGTGTGGAGCTTGGCAGAAATGGAGTTTGCTAGCTGAAATAATTAAGCGCTGCATGGGCTCAAACACATACCTAGAGTTTAGTTAGGGAATTTTCGATGGCAAAGAAAGATTTTGGTGAAGTATGAGAAAAATAATCTTCTTTAGGAAATGTTCACACCTTTTTTGCACTGTTGAAAGTCAAAAATCCAAATCAAGACATTAACCTATTATATAATGAACCGTCATGAATCATAAGATTTAAATTTTCATCTCGAACCCTGTCATTACCCCTTCATTTTGCCTGAAATCAGCCATATATTTCAATTTCTTTCCGACCCTTTTCTGAAATTGTTTGCCTATTGATGATTTCACCCGCTGAACCAATAATGGCAAGAATATCGGTGAAGATTCTCGGGGTTGTAGACCGTTCTGTAAAATCAAATTAGGAGTGACGTTAAAAGAACATGAAAATATGCAAAATCACATGTGATTTTACATTAATGGTTAAAAGGGCATTGCATTTGATTTTATATATGATGTAAGTGTAAAATCACACGTGATTCGCCGGTTTTTGTGTTCTTTTAAATATGTATCGTTCTCGTTTGATCCTACTTTCTACACACGCATATATATATATATATATATATATATATA